CGTCGCTCCAGGGAAACGCAAGGAATTGCCCTGGTGTGGAATCAGCCCTGTGGGCTGTCCCTCCTGTCGAAAACTGGTTGGGTTTGTGTGCTGGGAAGTTGTCAGCCCTGGGGGTTGCAGGTGGTTCTGATGCACGTACGCCTCGTGGCTGAGCGAGCACCTCCCGTGCTCCTCGGTGGCACTTTGCCTGTGTAGGGCAGCACCTTGGTGGCACTTTGCCTGTGTAGGGCAGCACTTTGGTGGCACTTTGCCTGTGTAGGGCAGCACTTTGGTGGCGCTTTGCCTGGGTAGGGCAGCACTTTGGTGGCACTTTGCCTGTGTAGGGCAGCACCTCGGTGGCACTTTGCCTGTGTAGAGCAGCACCCCTGTGGCACTTTGCCTGTGTAGGGCAGCACCTCGGTGGCACTTTGCCTGTGTAGGGCAGCACCCCGGTGGCACTTTGCCTGGGTAGGGCAGCACCTTGGTGGCACTTTCCCTGTGTAGGGCAGCACCTCGGTGGCACTTTGCCTGTGTAGGGCAGCACCCCTGTGGCACTTTGCCTGTGTATGGCAGCACCCCTGTGGCACTTTGCCTGGGTAGGGCAGCACCTCGGTGGCACTTTTCCTTACAGGCTCCAGCTGTGTACAGCTGGCATGTTGGTGTCCCTGCCGGAGATGGCTTTTGGTGTTTCTTACCCTCTGACATCATCTGCAGCGTGCGATGCCTGTGTTCGCACCAGGGTGGAGAAAAAGTTGGTTGCTTCTGAATGCTGGAATCTCGGCAAATCCACTGAAAGCTATGGCAGGCGTCTGGGGTGCCCTTTGGTGGCCGCTGTATGGGTGGACACATGGTCAGGGTGGTGGCATTGTCGTGGATGCCACAAAGTAAAGGAGGACAGGCGCAGGCTGAACAGATGTCTTCTGGAGGTTAACCTAGAAAGCTCTGAAGCTCTGCCTGTAGTCTGGACACCTCCATCCCCACCATCAACACGGGTGCAGCAGGGACGGCAGGTTGTGCGGGGGCAGAACTGAACCGAGCTGAGAGAAGGGAAGATCCCAGCTCTGGAGCCCTCAGCACAAGGAGGACATGGACCTGTTGGAGCGGGGCCAGAGGAGGGCTACTAAAATGATCCGAGGGCTGGAG